TCGTTCTATATGTAACTTTCTAAGGAGCTGCCAAATTGTTCCAAATTGGTTACACCATTCTATATTACCACTTAGCAATGTGCAATGTTACTAATTTCTCCAGAACTTTAACAACACTTGTTATTTTTATTTATTTATTTATCTGTATTTAGTGCCAGGTCTACAGGGTCTACAGGGTTTCACTACACAGATAGGACTTGTATTCTCCTGTTTTCAGCTTCCCAAATGCTGGGATTACAGGGGTGCACCACCATGCCCAGTCTCAATCAACATCTCAGCGCACCCTCTGGGGCAGGGCTGGCATGGCAGGCAGGCAGGCCGGGGATCGAACCTCCAAGTCCTGCATCTGCCTAAGCAGGTGCTTTAATCTGCTGAGCTATCTGGTCAGCCCTTAACAACACTTGTCATTATTCATCTTTTTATTCTAGTTATCCTGGTTAATTTAAAGTAGGATCTCATTTTTACTTTTGATTTGCATTTCCTTGACATCATTCTAGGCATCTTTTTACATGTTTATTGGCCGTTTGCAAATCCTCTTCAGAGAAATATGTATTTTAGTCCTTTCCTCACCTTTGAGTTGGTTTGTTGTTGGTTAAGATATTAACCCTTAATCAGATATATCTTTGGTAATATTTGTTCCAATTCTGTGGGTTTCTTCTCCCCTTTGTTGGTAGTGTCTTTTGATACACAAAAGTTTTTAGTTCTGATGATGTGCAATTTGTCTTTTATTTGTTGCATGTGAAATTGTGGTGGTGTGCTTCCCCTGTGTCTCACCATCTACCCCCACCCTTAGCCTATCTTAAATTTGGTAGTTATTTCTACCTGGTATCTTAAACTTCCACATCAGAGCTAAGACTTCAAATGACACTTTTGAATAATGCCCCACAGTCAACTTGAGGGTACTGAAGATCTGCTAGCACAATTATATCAATGTCCTGCCAGCTCTCTAGGTTAACAGCTTCCTCCATACTAGGCTGTAGCCCATGCGACTCATCAGCAGCCTACTGCATGCCATGCCCTTAGACCACGCTCTTGAGCACTTAAGTTTCTTTTGCTCCTTCCAACATTCCTACTCAGGAAGTAGTACATCCCCTGACTTCAGTGCTGTGGGGCTCATCACATTTTGTTTCTGATTCCCAGAGCTATTTGTCTCTAATATTGGGCACTGAGAATATTTAAACATTTTATTTCTCTGTCTTATTCATATTTATGTGGGCTTAAAGGGCAGGAATGTGTGTCAAAAAATGGACTTCCTGGACATCTTGACCAGGATTCACAGTAAATGTTTCCATATGTGAACCACTGGATTGATTAGCCTGCAGACCACTGGTTTGATTACAGTGGATCTGCTATATAAATAGCTCTGAAGAAAAAAATATCTAAATCTCCAATTAGGTCCATTCAACCGAATGTGTAATTACAGGGTTTTAAAAGCTGGTATTTATTGGTGGCAGTGAGGAATTGTCTCTTGTATAGCTGTGATACCAGGGAAAGCTTCTCAAGGTGGATTTGAGAGGAGGTGCCAGACAGGCCTGGGAAGGGGCTATTGAGGTCTTCAAGTGAACGGGAGTAAGGTGTGTGGCTCCTGAGGAAAGGAGGTAGAGAGCTGGCCCTGACGTAAGTGAGGTGGGAGGTAGTTACTATGCAAAGTACAGTTAGTATCGCCTGTGTTTGGAGAACTGCCCTTCACAGCATACAGGCACAAGGGGAATGGTCAGGACTTGGAGCCTAAGATGCCAGTTTGGTCCAGTTCAGACTGCCAAACTAAGGCTTCAGGCAAAGTTTTCAGGACTGATTCAGAAGCCCTGAGAGCAGGACAGGCCATGTGGGAAGCACACCAGCTCTGCATATTCTTGTAGATGACCAGGTTAGCCTCACAGCTCCCACCTGACCTAGGAAGGAGATGAGATTGCAAAGGGAAGGCGTCATTGCTGCAATAGAGCTGCCTGATATAAATTAGTTTATGTCTCAGTGCTCTAAAGTCCTAAGAGCATAACTACCTCATTAAGACATCATGACCAGTGGCTTGTAGACAATTTGGAGACCAAGGTCTATTCAATAGTAAAACCCAAGTCAGTACAGTTGAGGCAAATGTAAACTTTAGAATAAGTCCTTTTCTAAAAGTGATTCTTTTCTATGTAGTCATAAACCAACACACTCATGAGCCCAGCATTGTAAACACTAGAGTTTTCGATGTACATCTGTCTTTGTGGTAACACAGGGGTCAAAAAGACAAGACAGCCTCCTCTGCAGGGAAAGCCACCTACTAACACATGAAAGCATATTTATACAAATTGTTGCAATACAATATTAATTCCACCTAGAAGATTTGGAGAGGAGTGTGAAAAGAGGTTAACTGAGAGAAGCTGAGAGACATTAGTCACAGATGCATTCATAGAGGCAAGAAAATTCAGAGCAAAGAGCAAACACTGATGGAATCCAGTTATTGGACCTGGGTAAAGAAACTGTAAAAGCTGGTCATGGTGGCACATGTCTGTAATTCTAGCACTGCTAAAGTTGAAGAAGGAGGATCACAGCAAATTTGAGACCAGGCTGGACTACACAGTAAGTTCGAAGTCTCCACCATGAACTACGTAGTGAGATCCTGTCTCAAAAAACTAATAAATAAATAAAAATAAAAATAAACAAACAAACAAAAAAAAAACAAAACCTGCAGCAGAAATAAAGTTGAAAAGGTACATAGACATACATTATATTTTGTCAGTCTAAAATGCTGTTAATGAGGATATAGCTTAGTAGTATAAGCACCTACCTGGCAAGCTCAAGGTCCTAAATTCAATTACAAGTACAAAAACAACCAATTGTAAAGTGATATTCTGCTAATTGTAAAGTGATATTCAGAAGAGATAAAGTGCAAAGTATTATGCCTTTTAGAATGGATAAAATGTGTTAACTCCAAAGAAAAAAATCCGAAAGATGAATTAACATTAGAAAACATTTTTTAAAAAGACAAGAGTAAATCAAATAAGGATGTCATTTTCTTATCAAAATAGTAAAATATAAAAGCACTGTTCAGCATCAGTAAAGGGATAGTGAAATGGGAAAATCACCCAGGAAGTACAACTTAGTGACATTTCAATAGATTGTCTTAACAATAATGTGTCAAACCAAATGTGCATATATTCTTAAGGCAGCAATACTTCCTATGAGAATTAGACTTGATCCACACTTAAGAGACTCAGCAGGAGACTTAGATACAAGGATATAGCATTACTGATGATATGTAACTCAGTAGTGTCCCAAATTTTCTGATCAAGGAGATTATGGGGCCAAAGAGGAAAGTGATTGATGATGCAGAGTGTGCCTAAGGAGAGTCACATGGAGAGAAAACATTCTCTCAGGCTTTCACAGAGAGCACATTGGCCAAGCAATGGCCGTGACTCATCCACATGGCTGACACTGACAAAGGTTCTACAATCTGAGGTACAGGATCTCAGAATAAATCCTGAGGGGATTTCACTGACCTTATCAGACCCAAAAGCTACAACCCTTGTTGCATAGGTACTGCTTTATCTTGGTCTTAACCATCCAACAGAAAAGTATAAAAACAAAGTATAAGAAGTAAAGCCATGCTGTTATGTTGAGCTGTAGGGGACTCAGGTCAACTATTTCTGATATTGCCAGTCAAGCAGAAGACTCAATACTATTATGGATTACTGAACTCTTTTAGAATATTTTGCTGAGTTTACACACCTATAATATTCAAATAACGGAACTAAACAAAAAAAAGGGATACAGATGAATGTCCATTTTGTATCTGTGTATTCAAAATGGATAGAATAGATATATAGTTACATTCTCTTAATGAATAGAGGGATTCGTTCTAATAGTGTTTGTAAATAGGATATCTTGTCTGCATCTTGTACAGCAATTAACCACTAGGAAGAATGTATGCAATGTGTTAATTATTGAAACTGTTCTACCAATTTGGTTTGAAATGGTTTCATTGCTATTTGTTTTTCAATGAAATTATGGGAAAAAAACATTGCTGGTGATAATAAAAATATGAGCTGCACAAATGCCAAATTAAAAATGAACTTCTAAATAAGTTGTGGTGTCTCTAGGAAATACTGGTCTGTTGTTTAAATATTTGTTAATTTATGCAGATGGGAAAACATCTTCTAATATAAGGAAAAATTTCAAGAGGAAGAGAAGAAACTACATAAATTATCATTTGAATCTTGGAAAAATATTTAATAAAGACTGGAAGGTTAGATTATTGAGGTTATTGGCAACATTGTCTTCCTATAATTTTAACTATTTAAAAACACTTTTACAATGACTTTACACTTTTACAAGTTGACCTTTTATAACTTCTCCGATCCCCACACAGATTTTTTCCCAAGTTGTACTCTAATTAAGTCATAGTGAAGAATGCAACCTCATGCAGAAACACATGAATGACCAATAGCTACCCCGTGTCAAATGGTAACTACAGGTGATCACTGTGAATACTGAAACACTCCATGGTACTTGGTAGTTGGGGTCTAGGTCATGTGTAGTTCTAATTTCTCAAAAGAACAAAGCAGCCATGCCATTACCTTTAATATTGTATTAGACTTATGCTAAATTCATGAGCACTATTTCTAATTTGTATCAGAGGAGAGATGGGTGAGAAAAACAATGTTCTAAGAAAACAAAAAAATACTTGGGTTGCATAATTTTCATGTGACAAATCTAGAATCTGAACTCAGGTCTCCTGCCTTTTTCATCAAAGACTAAGTATCTTGCCCAGATGAATATCAAGGAAGAGAAAGATTCTGTTTTCACCAATGAATGAAAGAGGTTATGGACCCACTATGGAAATGTTATGATCGCTTTTGGGGAAAAGACACAACTGTGGATGACAGAGGTACCTCTGAAACCTTGGTTGACAAAGGGCTAGATTCACAGCTTATCAACTACTACGCTCAGCTGTTGAGAAACCTCTTTTCTAACATTTGTGGTCACTAAGGTAATGCACAAAGGTATTCACCTACCTGGCAAGGTAAGGCGACTGGTGGAGCTAGTGCTGGGAGCTGGAGAGCCATGAGAGCGCTTCTTGGTGCCTGTGTAGAGGAAGAACGTGAAAAGCAAAGTTAGGATTGAGGATATTCTTGGTCAATAGGTAAACATTCCCCTGAGATGCTATCAAATGACATAAAAGTTTGGGTGCAGAAATAACCTTTAGGTGAGGTTGCAGCACTGGCACCTGATATAGTCAGAAAAGCCCAGAGTCCAGCTCTTTACTCTTGTGTAATTCTGCTCAATTCTTCTGATTGGCAGGTTAGCATTTTAGGGATTAATACATTGGGACAGGATGTAGCTTGGCACCATCCGGAAAGTTCCCTAAATATGTGGTTGCCTGGGTGTCACCCCTAAGGATCTTGCTTGCAGTGTAATAGGATGCAGCCTGGCACATCTACTTTAAAAGCCCCCAGATGATTCTGAAGTATATTCAAGGAAGAGAGGTACAGTCGCTAAAAAAGGTGAAGTTCGGTTTTTAGAACAGAGGAATCAGGGGTTTGGTCCCTGCTTTGCTGCTGTGGACTTTTCTTGCTATTGGCCCTCAAGCCATTAACTGGATCTTGCTGAGGCTAAGCAGGTGTTCGTCTGAAAAATGAGGGAAAGAACAGTTACATCAAAGAGTTGTGGTGAGTATCAAAAGAGTCAAGGTGTGTTAGAGCATTCAGGAGGTGCGGGGGCCTGCACGAGCAGGAGGTTACTGAGGTCTCTATGTTTCCAATAGCTGGAAAGGAATTCTTAGTAAGAAGGAAATTAATGTTGCCCATACAGTTTAATGGGTCATGTGAGGATGAAAAGATAGCCTCCAGGGTGAAATTAATAAAAAGAGAGCAGAACAGAGGGACAAAGGAAATGCTGCCACATTGTCCTGCATAAGTGTATTTTACACATGCGTATGTATATAACTATGCTTGTACATGGGTTATGTATATACATACATAGTCCATGTACATTTATATATAAATACATAGACACACATGAATACATGCTTCATTCATTCATTCATTCATTCATCCATTCATTTATTTGGCCCACCAGGATAGGAAGGAAGGGAAGCATCCAACAACCTGGCAGAGATTCACAGTCAGAGCTGGCAGAACTACAGAGCATGCTTAAGGAGACACACACATTAATAGTATCTGTCACTACACCTTCAAGCACCCTAAACATTTAGTAAAGTTATTTTATAGCAGAAGCCTAATGTGAGTGGACTGAGTGCTGATGGAGAAAGCGCTGTGGCCACAGTCACTGGTGAAGGTCACTCAATGAATCACAGGTGGGTCAGCATCCCGGGAAGCAGGCACTCGGGGCTGGGGGTGACCCAGTGCATCCTGAGCTCTCCCTGCCCCAGAGTCCCTCTGAGAAGTGCCACAAATGCTGGGTGGCACTTGAGACTATTTTATTTTAATTTTGAGCATGGTACCAGCCTTGATCTTCCGTGTTATTGTTGGTGTTATTATTTCCATTGTTGGCATTAGCAGTGGTGTTAATAGGAGGAGTGAAATAGAAAACACAAAATCCAATCACCTCACACCTGCCAAAGGTGTTAATTTATGTGAGATAAGATACAGCTGCTAGCTATATGGCTGGCAGGATATCATTAGTATGTGTGCTTCCCACATCTCATGGCTTCCCTGGAGAACAGTTAAGGAAATCTTCAAGGGTCTAACCTGGCTAGAACTGGGCTTGAGATTCTTCAGGAATGATCTGTATAAGCTATGGATGCCACAATCCTCTTCCAGACACTGATATACAGATTCCATGGAAGGGAGGCAGAGGTTTGCATCTTAACAAGTTTCCCCAGGAACTTATTATTAATTGTTCTAATGTAATGGTTTGGACACTAAAAGATGAAATATTTACCAAGGGTGACATTGGTCAGGGATAGGACCACCTCATCTCGTAAGTCAGCAGGTACTGTTCAATACTATCTTTCAGAAATCTTGGTATACCACGAGTCAGCCCTGAGGAGGGCCCTCTAACCTTGTGGTCCAGAGTCCTTCCTGGTCCACCAGAAATGCTTCCTCTGGGTTTCACTTGGACCTGCTTCCGTGGTGGGAATGCCAATCCCTCGGTGTCATTCAAATATTTTATTTCTGTCACAGAGTACTTGGCACAAGATTTCTTGACAGCAGCAATATGACATTTGGGCTGCATAAATACTTGTGGTGAACATTGTTCTGTGCATTATAGGAGGTTTAGGAGAGTCTCTCACCTCTCTAAACTGCCCCAATCATGACAATCAAAAGTGTCCTCCAGGAAAAATTGTGCTGAGTTGCGAACCCCTGTTCTAGTATAGCCATGGGATTCAGATTTTTTATTCAGAGCCAGGATTCCCAATGTAGCCTTTTGGTCATCACTACCTCATATCAAGCAGTTACTGTGTCCTTAGCAGTCTATTAATTAGTCACAAGTAAATAAACCTTCATTGTCTTTTCTGATCTGAATGCTGACAATAAGACTACTCCCATTTTATGGCATTTAGAGTCAAAGGAACTTAAAGTAATTAGCTCAGAGTTACTGGTAATTTTTAAGCCAAGATGCTTCAAAGTCCAAACCACAGAAACTCTACTCATGGTCCTTGCTTCCTCTTAATCAATTCATGATCTGAGCTTCCTTTTCAAGTACAGTGTCTCAACTTGACCTAATGATAAGGAAAACATGGCACAACTTTTTAACAAAAAGGGAAAACAAGACACAGGGAGCCAGCACTTCTTGAGTAGCGACCTTAATATTTTGCAACTGCCTCAGGTGATCCTGACCCTTGGGGAATGT